GAAATAGAGGAGAGTTGGCTAGAAATCAATTTCGCTCTAAAAACTTGCAAGTGGAAAACATGAGAAGTAAAGACAAGCAAAGGAAATATTTATTATTATTATTTGTTAAAATAGAAGTTAGAGAGTTGCAATCCAAAACAAAACGCAACAAATTTGAAGAAGAACAAAGAGTTGAATAGAGATGTTGAAGATTCATCAAAAGCACATCTGTTTCAGTATGTATAAGTGAATAAAAGAAAGTGGTTTTGAAGGTGCCAAGTTAAAAGTAGTAAATGTTAAAAGGAATAAATGAAAAAAAGTGTAAATGAAAGGAGATGGGATGTACCATCAACATGAGCTATGCACTAGACAGAGGTAGAGTATGTAGTAATTATAACAAATGGTCCTTCCCAATCAGGACGGAACTTACCATGGTACTGAAAACATTGTTTGAGTACCAAATCACCAACATTAAAGCTACGACTGCATGCATGCTTATTATAACAATGAGAAATGCATTTTTGATATGCATGCATGTGATCAAGAGCATGTAACCGGTGTTCTTCTAAGGGATGTAAGTGGTGCAAGTGTGATTGATGAAGTGTATCATATGGGATTGTGTCATGCATAAGGATCCATGGATAAAATGGCTTCAGTGCCAAAGACAAGTGAATAAGGTGTGGCGCTTGTTGGTGTTCTAAAAGAGGTGCGGTATGCTAGGAGAGCTGGAAATAATTTAGTTGACCAACCATTTCCTAATACAGAGACTATTTATTGTTTTGTTTGATATTTCAGCTTGTCCATTGGATTGAGGATTATAGATTGTTGAAAAATGGTGCTTGATGTGGTAGGCATTGCATAGTTTATCTACATCTTGATTGTGAAATGGTTTTCCATTATCGGTGACAATGGATTACGGGTATTGCCGTAACGACACAAGAGGTGTTGGTAAATGAAGCGGACTATGGATTTTGTGTCTTGAGATTTTAGAGTGGTGGATTTTACCCATTTAGTAAAGTAATCTGTAGCGATGATGATGATGAATTTGTTACCATTAGAGGGTTCAAAAGGTCCGACAATATAACAAAATGGCCAATGAATGGTGATGTAATGTAAAGATTCGGCTGGTGCATGGATGAGTGGAGAGTGATACTGACAAGGATCATGACAGTCTTTGACCATGGTGGACCAGTAGAAACCCGCCCTAAGGATCTTTTTAGCTAAAGCATCACTGTTAACGTGGCCACCACAAGGGCCATAATGGGCATCTTCTATGGCTTTAGTGGTAACAGAAAACGACAAAGGGTGTCATCAAAGGATCATCTATATAAGGTGCCACCTAATATGGCGCAGTGTTGGGCGCGTCGTCTAGTTAAGGATTTGGCAACAAAGGTGTTAGGTAGGGTACGATGTCGAAGGTATTGATAAATATGGAAAAAGGGTTGTTGTCAACTAGGGGATCAAAGTTGTTCGATAATAAAATTAAAGTGGAAAAATCAAGAAAAAAATAAGAAAGTCGAGTTCAAAGTTTCGATGCAATCAAAGAAAGAGACAAAGCAGATCGTCTTGTAAGAAGTTAAAAAAAAATATTGCACAAGAAAACCCAAAGAAAAATCAAAAGGGAATAAATAAAATGGAGATAAACACTAGACCGTTTTGGAGAATCTTAAAGAAGAAGACCAACCACAAAAAAAACAAAAGCAGAAAATGAAAAAAAAGGAACATACTGCACACACTCGAATAAAGCCCACATTAGAAGAAACCTTTGAATAGCGAAAATCCAAAAGAATAAAAACCATGGTTTTCGAACCACCGTTGATCCAGACAGACAGACATTTCCGGGAACCATCCAGGCAACTGGTTCCATTTTACCCCAATCCTGGTTCCTGGCCAATCATTGAATCGGTCAACAACCCATCAACCCGTTCAATGGTTTTGGTCGTTTTTTATTTTTTTTTAATTGGGAACTATCTAGGCAACCGATTCCGTTTTATCCCAATCCCAGTCCCTGGCCAAAAACCATTGAATCGGTCAATGGTCCATTGACCCGGGTAGTCGAACCATTGACCCGCTGACATGTTCAATGATTTTTGGCCATTTTTTAATTTTTGTTGTCAGAACGAGTTGTTCGTTCAAACTGGACAGTCGAACCGTCGACCCGAAAACTGGTGACCATAATGGTTCCATTTTTTGGTCGTATGAGTCACATGCTCGAATGACATAACACGCATGATACTGATTAATGGACCTCACACACTCAATTTTTTGCCTATAATTTTTGTTGTCAAAACAAGCTATCCGTTCGAACCAGATGGTTGAACCACCATTTTTTTTTTAATTAGGAACCGTCCAAGTAACGGTTCCGTTTTATCCCAATCCCAGTCCCTAGCCAAAAACCATTAAATCAGTCAACGACCCATTGACCCGAGCAATCGAACCGTCGACCCATTCAATGGTTTTGGCCTTTTTTTTTAATTTTTGTTGTCAAAACGGGCCATCCGTTTGAACTGCATGGTTGAACCATCGACCCGAAAACTGATGGCCAGAATGGTTCCGTTTTTGGGTTGTATGAGTAACACTCTTGAATGACACATAACACATATGATACTGCTTAATGGACCTCACACACACAATTTTTTGCCTGTAATTTTTGTTGTTAGAACGGGCCATCCGTTTGAATTGGATGGTCAAACCATCAACCCGAAAACCGGTGGCCATAACAGTTCCGTAATTTTTTGCTTGTAATTTTTTTTGTTAGAACAGGCCATCCATTCAAACCAAACAGTCGAACCATCATTGACATGTTCCATGTTTTTTTTCCGTTTTTTAATTTTTGTTGTCAAAACCGGACGGTCGAACCATTGACCTAAAAACTAGTGGCCAATGATACTGGTTATAACACGTATGATACTGGTTAATGGACCTTACACACAATTTTTTGCCCGTAATTTTTGTTGTTAGAACGGGCCGTCCATTCAAACTAGATGGTCAAACTGTCGTTGACATGTTCCATGGTTTTTGGTCTTTTTTTTTTTAATTTTTGTTGTTAGAATGCACCATTAGTTCGAACCGAACGGTCAAACCATCGACCTGAAAACCGGTGGCCAAAATGGTTCCGTTTCAGGTCGTATGAGTCACACACTCGAATGACATAACACATATGGTATTGCTTATTGGACCTTACACACTCAATTTTTTGCCTATAATTTTGTTGTTAGAACTGGCCATCCGTTCAAACCGGATGGTCAAACATTGACCCAAAAACCGATGGCCATAATGGCTCCGTATTTTTTTATTTGTAATTTTTGTTTTCAGAATGGATCGTCCGTTCAAACCGAACAGTTAAAATATATAAAATTTCTTATATTTGTTTATTGTAATTTGAGAATTTTCAATAAAGAATCTTATTATATAGAGAGAGAGACCACCCTTTCCCTTTAATAGTATATAAGATGGTATTCGATATCGTAAGTCGGACACGAATTTCACGGATCCTGCGAGTTCGAATCTCTACCCATGCCTCACTACAATTGTACAACATTGAGAACACCACCCGTATGTGCATGTCACCGTTCACGGGGAGATGTTCCCAGCTGTAGTGTAGGTGTGGGTAGAGATCTGAATTGATTTTCTGCAACTTTGGTTACCCTCTCCTATCTATCGAATTAGCAGTCATTTTTTTTTTCATTATTTTCTGTTATTACTTATTTATTGAATTTAAAAAATAAAATATGAAAAATTAAAGGAACCAAGTTTACCGTTTCATAATTCCCGTGCGTGGAAATTGAGATACATATTGGATGCTGACGTGCAGCACCCAGCCTACACCGAAGTGAGTGCAGGAAATCCGACCTCAGTTCATGAATCGTGGTGAATAGAAAGAAAGTGCAAGCAGAGTAGGAAGAGGTGAAAAAATTATCTGGTCGTCTACAACCAAAGGCAAAAGAGGGTCTAAAGGGGCCCAAGATTAGAGAAAACGTCTGGCCATACGCTTCAGTGTGACAATCATCCACCCAGATAGGGTTGGGGGGGAAACTTGGCTCCCTTTTTATTGGACTGATGGAGTGCCTAAAGCTTGCTCAAAGATGTGGGGCTTTCAGCATGTGGAAATTGATAGCTCACTGCTTCCCTCAGTGTTCAGTATAATCATGTAAACCGCACACTTTGGCAAAGCAAGCATTCTGTATTTCTAAATCTTGTAGCTCCCTTTTTATGTTACTAAATCAGGACATTTGTTCCATGCAAGATGAATGAATTTAACTTTTAGGCCAAATTTGGGAGTGGTTAATATTTGAAAAATAAGTATTTATTAAGTGCTAAGTGTTATGAAAAAGTACTTGTTTGTTTCAAATAGTGGCATTATAGGTATTTTCAAATTGACATGAGGGTTCAAAAAATCGTTGCATATAGGCCCGTATCTGCCAATGTGTATTGTATTGGGCCCTTCCCAAATACGCCCCTACAGGGGTTGAATTGGGTCAGGGTCTGGTTCAGAGGTAGTCGGGACATAAACCAGTCCCACTGAAGGGCCAATTGGAATTGGCCAAGTATCGATACTTTGAACACAAGACAGGCCAGAAAATTTTGCAATGTTTTAAAAATCGATCCAAATTACGAACCACTTTTATCTCTGGGTTACGGGTCGAGGTATGGTCTGGGTCGAATGAGTCAACCATGCCACATCAGCACTATATATGCATTATTTTACTTTATTTAATTCAGTTTTTATTTTTTTTATTTGTATTAAAAATTGTCATTTGAGACCACCGGTTTTTGACCTAGTCAACAACTTTTGATCAAATTCCGGGTTTAATTAAAACCGGATCCAAAATCATGGAACAGTTTAACCGACCAGGTCAATTGGCAGGTTAAAAACACTGAAATTTTGAGCTTTTCAAATGAGTAATCATTTTCAAACAAGTGCTTACTTTCCAAACGCCAATAAATACTTTATCGGTGTGATCTCAGCCCAAAACAAGTGCTTATTCAAATGAGCACTTATTTTTAATCACTCATGCCTGTTAGTGCCTTGTCAATTGAACCTGGGAAATTCACATTTTTAGTGTTACAAATTAAAAATACAAAAATGCAAGATTTAACATAACCTGGTCAATTGAACCATAAAGGATAATTCAGTGTACAGGCTTGCAACCACAGAACCATGATCATGATGTGCCACTCACTAATAATGAAGAAATAAAAACTAATAATTGAACCTTTTGGCAACAGTAGGTAGGTTAGGTGGTTACAATCTTGACTAGTCAACCTGGGCCAACTTTAGGAATATCATAGTGCTCACTCATATTTGCCAGATACTGGTTGAAGTCCTGAATCCGATCGCGATGTGATTTGTTAGCATTCTTCGCCAGCCTTCGGACATCTATTTTCTCCCTCTGATCAATGTACCGCCTTTCAGCAGGCGTGAGAAGATCGTCATGAGTACCAGCATTTCCTTCCCCACCCAATTTGTCGGTCTCATTTATATCCTCCTCGGTTTGATCAGTTGACACTCCTGTGCTTCCACCTTAAATCCACAAAGAAAGATTAAAGAAAATCAGAGAAGGCAGACTGAAAGTGTTGCCCAGAAAGGGAGCTATATTCAATGCATCTCATTGACAAACATATTATCCAATGGTGGTCCATTTACAAATTAAGACTAGCACCTTTACAACAAATTAAGAAAGACAGCTACTATGGCCCTGATCACGCAGGAAATCAGATTGAGTTGAAAACAATGACGCAAATCAAACTTACTATTTTTTACCAAAAATAAATAAACTAAATTTCCTATTTTCAGTCAATGTGAAGCAGGATGAATTGATTTTCACAGTGATGATGAAAAGGATATTTTCTCTTCTCTATAAAGAAAAATAGTTTCACAATTCTGATTAGGGCATAACAAAAAACCTGTTGAAAGCTCGCTTCCAGTAAGTTGAGATATTTGATCATAATGCTTCTTATGTTTCTTTTTCTTCTTAGTCCCACCAGCCTTCACATCCAAAGCTTTCCCCTTCAGCTTCAGCTTCCCACCAACAACATTCTCATACGCTGACATTTTCTGCCAAACCATCAAATAAAATACCATGTGTTAGACAAACAGTACACAATCACCCAAATCATTTATCACAACAGACACAGAATGTTTGATGAAGAGTTGTATGGAAAGAGGAGAGAACAGAAAAAGATTAATGAAGTGTTCCATTGATGTAAAGACCATGGATTCAGACACTTGTTTTTTTTTTATCACAAAATATTACTCTTTTCATTGAAGATCCTCCCATTCTTTTCTTCCCATGTGACTACCAATGCCGCTCTGACTGCCTTCCACATTATTGTTCCTCTTTTCTTTGGCCGTCTCAAGAGACTTGTTGTATATGTATGTGCATAGATCTATGACAAGGTGTGATACTGGAAGAACTTTGACCAATCAAAACCCTCCCATGAATTTTCATGATTGGTTACCACTTTTATGATAGTGGTTGGTTCTTTGGTTGGTCATAAGTTTTTTTCCATTATCATGTCTTTCCAGTATAATAATTGAATGCATGCATACGAAGATGGAAACAGATGGCAGGAGTGTTCTGGATCTAACATGTACAGGGGAGTATATAAACAAGATGTTTAATTGTACCACTGAAGAGATTTATCAAAAATAAATAACATTGAAGAGCATTTTACAAAGCATGAACTGTTCAAAAAGCTTAAGAAAATATGATGGGGAAGAATACAGAAGTATAACTCCAAAATACATAAGAGTGGCAAGTATGGACACGAGCAGAGTGCAGAAGGGTTTACAGCTCTTCCTTGCTAACCCATCGGTATCAGTACTTTATACCATAAGCTTCTGCAACAAACCCTCAATGAAAAGAAATTGTACAAAGCAATAGGCTTCAAATTAGCATGCAAGAGAACACGTTGAGATCTCCAATAAAAAGGGCATGCTGAACTTTACTATTAGCTGCCTCAAAAATTGTTAGGAAACAACCAATAAGGTCAAACTAGTAAACAGAAATGAAACACTCCCAAAAAGTAGTAAACAACGCTAAAATAACTAATTGATAGAGCTGTAAATTAGCATTCCAATATTAATTGGTCAACACATGTCAGTGTTCCAAAATCAACAAACACAATAGAATCACAAGGACCTTCTAGCACCACATGTGTGCAAGTGAGGCACAAGCCCAAACAAAGCCCAAAGTAGAAAACCAGATTTACAACTTAACCAACGGAGTTTATGAAGCGAGGCCAAGAGAAGGCCAGTTGGAAAGAAAACGCATTGGGTAAATGTGGTCAGCACAACACTGCATGCGTGGTATATGCCAACTTTTCTGGTAGTTGTCAATCATTTAGAAGGATTTATGAAGATAGATATATAAACATAACAAGGAATTAGTTGATTTTGGCAAGAATATTGATTAAAACAGATAATACTGAAGGTCTCAAACTACCATTGAATTGTACTTTGAAATCGAGGTTTATGACCTTAAAGTAAAGGTTAACGACAAAGATTAGGCATGCATTACCATTGGGGAAGAATGATGAGCTGGCTTACATACAAAATTATATTGGAATTTTGAATGGGGAGAGACAAGGAAGGGCCAAACACGACATGGAGGAGTTCAAAGAAGCAAAATCAGCAACCTCAATTAGCTCAAGGAGCAGCCTTAGATATTTTTGGGAGTAGGGGTTTTAATAGTATAATACAAAGAAAAAAAATAATGATCAGACCTAGGGAGTACAGTCATTCAAATGTTCATTAAGGGGCAGATCAAAGAAAGAAAATAAAACTTTCAGATGATAAAGGATAAGAGAATAGTCTCCTTCAAGCAAACAAAGAAGGGAGACCACTTTAAGGACCGAGGGGGAGGCCAGTCAAAGCATATCGGATTGGGTTGAGTGGCTTCATGTGTCAACAATTCAGATGTGGATGATCACCTGATACCCCCATGCTCTAGAGATAGGAAAGGCCAGCAAGCACCATTAAGAAGCAAAGTTAGATAAGGAAAACAGTGCATTTGGAACATTGGAAACATTCAGAAGAGACCAAACACAACTCTACAAGCTCAAGATCTTAACCTAATGAGCCACTCGAGGGGTTATGGCCTCAATAAATGCCTCCTTAGTTCTTTCCACCATAGTTGTCTAATCAACACATTTCTTCTTCTTCTTCTTTCCTTTCTTCTTTTTCTTCTCATAAATATGAAAACTATGGATGGTTATTAAAGAAAGCTGGTTATGGAACCTAGGGAACTACCCTAGGATATGTGATTTTTACTTAAAAAATTCCATCGCCTAGGCAATGCCTAGGCGACAAGGCGACAAGGCACCCCCCCCCCCCGTTGCCTAGCCTTGCGCCTTGAAAACTTTGATTTCCACATCAGTCTACCTCTTTTAGTAGCACACCTGCAAACAGAAGGGGAAAACAGCCCTTCCAAGCTAACAGGAGAGAGCCACCTGCAACCAAAAAGTGAGGCAAACTACACCCAGATAAAACAAATAAAAGGATGGAGATTAAAAGATGAAAAGCAATCTCACCATTAACCTTGCACAAGCTGCACCAGTTGGGGGACAAACACCAGTTTGGCCTTTTTCTTTGAAGCTTATCACAAGTATTAATGCAACCATGAAACACTACCCAACAAAAGGCATTCACTCTAGGGGGAATGGGAGGACACCAAATTTCTTTCACAGGGTAAATGGGGAAGGGGAGGGAGAAAAAGCAACAAGGGAATTGAAAAAGGATTTACAAGTGAAAGCCCCAGTCAAGTTAAGAGTCCAGACCCTACTATCCACACCACCATCCCCAAGAACCATAGAGTTCAACAAGGAGAGCATATCAGAAACAAGAGGAACTTCAGACTCTCTAAGATTCCTAATAAAACCCAAATTCCAGTTTAGATCAGGTGATGGGGACGAACAAAGGAAGTCAGCCACCAGCCTGACTTTAAAAATGGAAATAACATAAAGAGAAGGGAAGACCTCCTATAAAGGGGTTTCCCCAACCCAGATATCCTCCCAGAACCTAATCTTTTGACCCAAGACCAAATCATACCTAATGTGATTGAGGAAGGCGGGAAGACAGTCATGGATGGCTTTCCAAGGAGAAGCCAAGGAAGCTCTATGAAGACAACCAGCATCCCATCCATTGTTTGTTTGACAGCCCACTAAGATACAATTATACAACCATTCAACAATAGAGCCCTAGATTTTTTTTTCTTTTCAAAGAATAATGGTAGAGATCTCTCTTTTAATGTTTTTTTTCCTTTTATGGTTAGTTAGTTCTCTCTCCAACTCAGTCAACCCGAATAAATGATTTACTTCCTATAATCACTTCAGTGAAAAAAGTTTTTCCTTGTTTGATTTGTTCAATAATACAACAGTCTATAAATTCCATCTTTTGATCATATGAGCATCTGCTTTTAGAATTTGCAACTTCTTCACCATGGAAAACTCCCCCTTATGCATTCAACAAGGCAGGTCAGGTCCAGGTTAGGGTTAGACTCCTATAATCACTTCAGTGAAAAAAGTTTTTCCTTGTTTGATTTGTTCAACAATATAACAGTCTATAAATTCCATCTTTTGATCATATGAGCATCTACTTTTAGAATTTGCAACTTCTTCATCATGGAAAACTCCCCCTTATGCATTCAACAAGGCAGGGCAGGTCAGGTCCAGGTTAGGGTAAGACTCCAATCTTCCAAAATTTGGATGAGTTGCCCATTAGAGCATATAAAATTTGGTTCATTCTGCCATGCTTCAATGAGGCTATTTCTTGAAATAAATTCCCTAAACCTTCTCTTAGCCCCAAAAGTTCTATTTTCAATTTCATAAAACAAAACTACAATAGAAATCTCTATAGAAATCCAAAAATACTAATTAAAGAACAAAAACAAATTAAAAGATAGGCTTAATTATGGATACCAAAAAAGAAAAATTGCAGCCAAAAACAAATTAAAAGATAGGCTTAATTATGGATACCAAAAAAGAAAAATTGCAGCCACTTGTTAAATTTTTTAGTCTCCCTTCTAGATCGATCACATAAGGTGATAGTCTGAGCAATGCTATTCTAGTAGCCCACCTTGTTTTAGAGGAAATACTATAACATGAAGGAATAAGTACATAATCTTCACAAGAAAAGGTAGGTCAATGACAGACGTATGTTCCCAGAATGCACCAAGCATTAGCTCCTATTGAAGCTTCTATTTTTCCACTTGACAGGTGTTTGCATAATACCCTCAAGACATCCAAAGATATCCAAAGCACCCAAATCTCCTTCATTTTGAAATTATCCATGTCATATTAATAATCCAACCCCAAATAGTTTGATTAAGGTTTGAGTGAGTTTATCCGAGTCTAGTGAAATACAAACTCTAATAGGAACATCAGCTAGGTGCATTCTGGGAGCATACCTCTGTTATTGATCCAAATCTAATAGAAGATTATGCCCTTCCCCAAAAGGAAGCATGCTTTCCTAAAACAAGATAATAGGTCTACTTGAACAACAACAACAGCTCATTCAAACTCAACTTTTGTAACCAATCCAATCATTGCAACTAATGAAAAATTAACAAGAGTTTACAATCTCCTCAATCTATGGTTTTTCCAATTAATGCCTACCTTCTGACCAACTCTTTCTTGTGAAAGACACTTTCAAAGATTCTAGTTGTTAGAAAGCAAATACATAGATAATGAAAAGAAACATGTATTAGTTGTTGTGAATCTTCCCCCATGAAGTGACCTACACCTGAAGCTAGCACATGTAATTGACAAAAAAAAAACCCTAGCTGTTCTTTTTTGGTAAGGAACAAAAAAATAAAAATTTTATTAAACCAAAAGTGCTCCATACAACACCAGTTGGTGAAAAAATCGCCCCAAGTACAAACAAAAAATACAAAAAAAAATATGAAAAAAAAATACGAAACTAAACTACGAAGAAAACAATTAACACCCAACAAAATATTAGAACATCCACTGAAAAAACAACTCAACCAATTCTCCAAAGCCTTCTTAAAAGTTCTTCAACATCATCACCAACCTAAGATTTCTTTTTGCACCCAT